GCGACCATTTGGCTATTCACAGTGCAGCTTTTCTACCTTAAGCACCAGAGGGTGCTTGGCAGGTGGCAGGAATGTATGCCAGGTGCCTCATTTTGATTGGTATGTTTACAGGGCTTGAAATGGGAAATTTGTATAGTGGCTGCAGCACTAATTGTTACACGATGAAAACAAGCAAATATTGAAACATTCATATCAGATTGCTGGCTGTGTCCCAGCAACATGTGTAAAAATATAACACAGTTTCTCTGGTAGCAATATTTTTCATAAAGCCTTCTCAGAAATACAATTTGCCCCTTAATACAGTGCACATTTATTTTAATTGTCTCAGTGGTGTTTGAAGTTCTTTAATAATATCAATCAGGCTAATGAAATGATGGACATTTTGAAATAATTCATATTCCACTGGTGTCATATATTTTGGCCATTCAGGAATATACACTGGTCACTTTTGGCTGGTCTTTATAAGGTTTGCTAGCTCTTATTAAGGTATTCATAGACATACAGCTGAATTAGGAATTTATTCAACCATGCAAATGTTATATGCTAGATAGATACATATATATGCAATTTTGCACACTTAATATGGTTATATAAACTGTCACTGACATGTTTTTGTCAGTGTGTGACATTGTTCAGTAAGAACTGGATGAGAGCTTCCACCCAAGATAATTACATTTTTTGGCTAAATTTGGTTTAATTGAGTAATCTTTTAAGATCTTATAACTGATAACTGAATTCATTGAAATTATACAAATAGATGTATTTTTAAAGAATACAATAAAACTGATCTCTAGTCAGCATTGAAAAATTAATAATTAGTCCCCCACCTCTAGGTAGCTAGGTTAATACTTAATACACAAGTAGATATTTGTAAAGAAATTTAAATGTTCATTCGACAACTTGATGAATGTTGTTTAAAAGTACTTTAAAACTTGTTGCTTTTGATTTTAAAATGAAATGGACTTTACCAAACGAAAACCACATTCACTTTTAGAAATTAGTTTGTTTAACCTCCTAAACGGTATTCCCGAGTGTAGCTCAGGGTGAAATTTGAGTACCAAGAGCGGTAACCCCGATCTACACTCGGGCTTACCATGCGGCGTTGCTCAGGGAGTCCCTGCAGCACTTACCTTGTCCTTCGCTCCCGCGATGTGTCCGCTGCAGCGTCCCCGGCCATCTCCTCCGGCCGATGCCGGCATCCGGCTTCCGTGTTCCGGTCCCTGTGATGTCGGCAAATTTGAAATTTTTAAAAAATGACATTTTATTTAAAATGATTATTACATAGTAAAACATTGCTGTTTCAATGCATTTCACATACATTTTGTCCCTACTGCTTTTTCATGTGCCCTGCCTGCATTTTGACTGTTCTTTCTGCCTGGAAACTTAGAAAAGTCCATGGCGTCCAAAAAGCGCCCCTTTACGTCAAAAGCGATTAGTAAATCAGAACCACTTGCAGAATTGAGTGATAATGATTCGTGGGGAAATTCGTCATCAGACACTGAAAACGATTTTGCAACTTTGCTCAGCGATGTGCGAATTTGTCTCTGTATTTCAAATTTCAGTGTTTTTGGTTTGATTATATTATTGAATTAAATTTATTATTATTATATTATTATTTTTTATGATTATTTATTAAATTATAATTTATGATTTCGAGTTTCAAATTTTATCCTACCCGGGATGTTTACTAGACTCTTGTTCGTAAGATTTCAGTGAGTTATTCCTAAAAATTACAGCCTACAATAAAAAACTACATATTTCCATGCAAAAAAATGGTACCGCTTTCAGCACAAAAAATCGGAAATAATCATACCGCCGAGGAGGTTAAGAAAAAGTTTTCATAGTTCAAATTTTCTCACTACTGTGGTAGAAAACAAACATCAATTTGACCCCAATAATGATTACAAAATTGAACAAACGGTGTTAAGATGAGAAATTTTGAACCAAATTCTATTGTATGGCCAGCTTTAATCTTCATTTGCCCGACGCACTGCTCTGCTATCTTCTACTCCCGGGATGTGGTCGGCCCTTGATGTACTCATGTTTAATGCAGGACTGCACATCGACTTGAAAGCATATTCCTTTCCACCACTTTGAAGTTGGCAAGTGCTCTTTGAAGCCACCATAGACTTTTACAGTGCAGCCAACTAATTCTGCCTTCCTGTAGTGTGGTCTGCAGGAAGTAGAAGCCTAAAGATCTCAAGATCAGCATCAAAAAGGTAAGTGTAATATACCTAATTGCTATTAGCTTCTCCTGATCCAGAAGCCTTTACATCATGGAGTTCTATTTTATGCTGACCACATTCACACAAAACATAGACTCCATCTCTTTAGGTATAGTTCTTCAAACAGTGGATCTAAAGATTGTTTCCAATGGGTTCCAACCTAAACCTGTTCTAATCATGTAACTAAAATAACAGATCTTGGATCAGATGCTTGCATGATCACCATTTTATTAACTTCTTTTAGATTCACATATGTTTCTAAGCATACCATTAGAGATGAGCGAATCGAACATGACGAAGTGGAATTCGTTCCGAAGATTTGGAAAAATTCTATTCGCGACGAATCCGAAGATTAGCAAACTTCGGATGCACGAATCGAATTTTCCCAAAAATGGCGGCGACATGTGTGGCGACGGAGAAAATGGACAGAGAAGATGGGGCGGGGATCTCTGGGAAGGCGCGCAGACAAGGCGCGCTGACCCATAATGCATTCATGACATGTGATCGCATTAGCCAATCAGCAGCCAGCCAGCACTGTGTAATGGTGGAGCTATAAATCGTGGCCATCTTAGAATTCTCCATTAGCCTCCGGTCATTCAAGAGAGACAGACCTGTGTGTATTAAGGGACAGAGTTAGGGCCACAGAGACTTTAGGGCCACAGAATTGTTACTCAGGGCCACAGAATCGTTACTCAGGGACACAGAATCGTTACTCAGGGACACAGAATCGTTACTTAGGGCCACAGCTATCAAAGAATCTAAAATTTAAAGTGACATACACCCTTTTTTTTTTGGTGGCTGTCGTGCACAGTTGGTGCTGCAGTTTGCCGATTGTGCAAAATAAACTGACTTTCTGCTTCACAACCACTATTGTACGTTCAAAGAGTTAAATCCATTTACACGCCGGCTGGCGGTAATATTTTTTGGGTGATTAGTGCATTCCAGTGACATAAACGTACAGTTTACAGCCAACGGCAAGCTGCAATTGACCGATTGTGTACAATAAACTGACTTTCTGCTTCACAACCACTATTGTACGTTCAAAGAGTTAAATCCATTTACACGCCGGCTGGCAGTAATATTTTTTGGGTGATTAGTGCATTCCAGTGACCTAAACGTACAGTTTCCAGCCAATGGCAAGCTGCAATTGACCGATTGTGTACAATAAACTGACTTTCTGCTTCACAACCACTATTGTACGTTCAAAGAGTTAAATCCATATACACGCCGGGTGGCGGTAATATTTTTTGGGTGATTAGTGCATTCCAGTGACATAAACGTACAGTTTACAGCCAACGGCAAGCTGCAATTGACCGATTGTGCTAAATAAACTGACTTTCTGCTTCACAACCACTATTGTACGTTCAAAGAGTTAAATCCGTTTTTATTTTTGGGGTGCTTATTGAATTAAAGAGTATGTCAGACAACACGCAGAGGAGTGGCAGAGGAGGCAATGTTTCAGGAGCGAGCAGACGTGGCAGCAGAGGAAGGGGTCGAGGCAGCACTAGTCGCAGCCAGAGGCCAGTGCTCCCGGTGTCATCCAGCGGTCGTGTCTCCACCGACAACCCTGCCGTCATCGATTGGTTGACTCGGTCGTCTTCCTCTTCCCAGGTCACCTCTGACACCTACAGCCAACGGTCGGTGGGTACGTCAGACACAACCGTTAGTTGGCATGGCCCGGGAGCAAGCCCACTGAAATCACGTGTCCTCGACCTGCCCCTGTCCTTTGGTGTTCCCTCACCAAGCGAAGTATCGCATGCTGTGGGCTCAGCCCCACTGTACAGTGAGGAAGAGCTAACAGAGGGCGGTCAGGAACGGGGGGAGACATCCGCCTCTTCAGCAGCCAGGCGAAGAAGTACTGGCGAGGAGAGTGGCTCGGTAGCCGGTCTAGAGACAGGTCTGTCTCCTGACCCACACGCAGCCGAGGGGGCTAGTAGTGACGCGGAGACCCTAATTGATGATGATGAGGCTGATCGCACTTGGCAGCCTCGTCGTCATCAGGCTATTGCTTCCGCATCATCAGGAGAAGAGGGTGCCAGCTTGCCAGCGAGCAAAACAGTCGGTGGGTTGCCCAGGAGGCAGCAGGGTCGCAGCAGCAGTGTCAGTGGAGCCAAACGGCCACGGAGTAGAGCACCAGCTCCACTGCAGCCTACCACCACGGCCAGTAGTGGTGCCGGTGTGCACGGAGGAAGTAGCAGTCAGCCAGTGAGGAGTAGCGGGGGCAAAGTTTCCTACTCGGCGGTGTGGCAATTTTTCGTCAAGCCGCCCGAGGAAGTAAACGTAGCCGTATGTCGACTATGTGGCCAGAAAGTCAAGCGTGGCCAGGGGGCCAATGTTGGGACTACAGCGTTGCGTCAGCATATGCAGCGTCGCCATTCGGTGGCCTGGGAAAACAGTGATAAAGATACGGCGGTTCTGCCTGCCCCAGCCCCCGCTCCATCACCCGCTCCGTTACTTGCTCCGTCACCCGACGTCAATCGCCCTCTATCAGCCAGTCAAGGCTCCAACACCTCTGCTGAGGGGAGTTGTCGCTCGTTGGCATCTTCCGCTCGTTCAGATGCTCCTTCTCCTGCTACTCCTCTTCACGGATTCCGTCAGCAGTCTTTCTTGGAATCCGTTTCCAAGAGACAACAGTTTGCGAGCACGCACCCGACGGTGGCTGAACAAAACCAGTCTCTACCACAAATTGGACCCAGACCTGCCCAGGGTCTCGTAAGTAGATTGCACGGAGGAGTAGAGTTCGTTATTGGAATTAACTGTGAGGGACTTTTAAACCTAGGCCTGTGTATGGCCTTCAATTGAAGCTGCTTCTGCTCCGCCACTCTGCCATTGGACTCTTGATAGTCGTCTCCCCACGCTGCTGCTGGGGGGACTTTTTAAACATAGGCCTCTGTATGGCCTTCAATTTTAGCTGCTTACGCTCCGCCACTCTGCCATGGGCCCCTGTACCGCCTCTCATGCTGCTGCCAGGCCCGTAATCTGCCATGGGCCCCCGTACCGACTCCTCATGCTGCTGCCAGGCCCCGTAATCTGTCATGGGCCCCTGTACCGCCTCCTCATGCTGCTGCCAGGTCCAGAGTGTGTCATGGGTCCCTGTACGGCCTCCCATTGCTGCTGTCTCCATCGCCACACTCTGCCATGTGCCACTTTCAGGTCTCCTCACACTGCTGGTGGGTTCCATTTTGTCATAGGGTGCTGTATGGCCTCCCATTGCTGCTGCTCCACCGCCACACTGTGGCTCCACACTCTGGTTTTGACCCCGTGACTGCCCAAATGAGTGAAGTGTGCGGTGATTCTAAGATCGACGGCACTCATCTGCATGTCATACTGACTGACAGTATTATTTCTCTTCCCCAGCAGACTCCAAGGGCATTTAAATTAAAGGTACAGTTTTCTGCACTAATATAAAGGCTCTCTGAAGCCTAGAAACACCCTTTTTATAAGTTAAATTCGCAGCGAATATATTCGGCTCGAAGCGAATTTATTCAGCGAATTCGGCGAATCAGCCGAACCGAATTTTTGAATAATTCGCTCATCTCTACATACCATGTATTATTATGAGATTTACTGATCTAAAACATCTATTTTTAGTGGTTAAACAACCAGTTACAGCAATGAACATTTTAATTTGTATCCATCCAGCCAAACAAAACTAGTAAATATATAGCAAAACTAATAGCTGATCATCCCCCTGCTGTTTCTTGTCTAACAATAATAAGTACATATTGGCTAGTTAGTTCGTATATGTACCTTCTTGACAAGCTGTGAAAATGGTTTAGAAACTGTTGAGATGATCACGTTTTGGAATGACAGGTCTTTGGCTAAGATCAGTGGTTTGAAATGCTGGTCATCATAGATTCTGGCAGAGGTATAGTCACTGAACATATCTGGAGTCGAGGAGGCAGAAAGCACGTATCAGTCCTTGTAAAGTCAAACTGCATAAGAAAAAAGAGAGGAAAACAAGAAATGAGTCAAGAAATCAATTCATTAATTTGTTTAATATAGACCCTGCAAGCTTGTTTGTGGCAAAGAATAATGCATTTTTTTCCATGTATCCTTAAAGTGGAGTTCCCACCTTAAAAAATAAATAAATAAAAGTCAGCAGCTACAAAAACTGTAGCTGCTGACTTTTAAAATACAGCCACTTACCTGTCCCTCAGTCCAGCGGTGTCTTCACCACCACTGGTTTCTCCGGCCGTCTGCTCTCCCTGGCGCCAGCATCTTCAGTGTGGGCACCCGCCTGTGACAGCTTGTGGCTTCACAGCTGGGTGCCCACTGTGCATGCGCGAGAAGCGCTGTGCTTTTTGAATGGCCCCATAGTCTTCTGGGTCCATTATCTCCTGCGCTCAAAGACTCAGATCAAACGGGCATTAGTAACAAACAGCGTGTTCATTCGCTGGTGATCAGAGGTTGTGCAGCTCTATCATGAAGCTGGGGAAGCTTGATAAAACTGTAGAAGAGGATGAAAGAAAGAGCGCACAAACCTTGCGCATTACCTCAATAAATAGTAACTAATTTTATTTAATTTAGGAAATATACTCACAAAGGTGACGGTAAACCTGGCATAAGTTAACCATAATCCACACAGGGTTACAGGTAAATCCAAAGGGGGGGATAAAAGCTAACGCGTTTTGAAGGGTGCACCCTTCTTCATCAGAGCTGGGTTGAGCAGATAGAAACTTCAGTATGGCAGAGTTTCCATGGCAAGGAGACATTCAGCCCACTGATTGTCAGTATTACAGCAGTTCAGCCTGTTTAGTGTCGCAGCAGAAGTGGGAGGGGGTACCTGTCAAATTCGGGTACCCGCTCCCCCCTTCACTCCCCAAAGGCGCCAACCTTAATGGGGAGCGGGGGGACAAAGGCTTAAAGCAAAACGTCCCCTTTAGGTGGAGCTCTGCTTTAAATAATTATGGTCATACTCTATGTGAGAATTCTAGCTGCAGAGGGCAGCAAAGTAGTTTATTGATCACGGGGGGGGGGACTTTTGCCTGCATGGAGCTCACTATGTCTTATGAGTTTTTACCTAAGGTTTGTTTCCACTAACCAAATTCAAACTGGTATCTTAACTGGATGCCACCCAAATTGGACCCTCTGGGGGTTGTTTACTAAAATTGGAGAGTGCAAAATCTGGAGCAGCTCTGCATAGACCAAAATCAGCTTAAATCAGCTTCCAGGCTTTATTGCCAAAGCTTAATTGAAAAAGCTTAAGTTAGAAGCTGATTGGCTGCCATACACAGCTGCACCAGATTCTGAATGCACCAGTTTTAGTAAATCTACCCCAGTCTCTGTATTTGAATTTAGCATAAACGTTAGTCTGTAAGTTATTATAAAGTTGAAACTGGATCCATAAGTCAATGCAAAATGTATTCCTACTTTATAAATAAATAAAAGAGGGTCCAAGCATCTTTAATCTTCCTTTTGCATGCCTATCTAGCATTTTAGAAATTGTGAATATTTAGCTGCAATAACTATATCAACAGTCCTATGTAAACAGTATTTCAAAAGATACTTTGCCCCTGGGCAGATAATTCAAATGTTCTCCAATCTTTGTGTATCCCTATCTCAATAAGCTCATAAACACAACATCAGTGTATTTTATGTTCAAGAGAATATAAAGAAATAAATAATATTTTGTAAATTCCTTCTTTTGCAAAGCAACTATATAACATCAACCCAGTTATTTAAATATTCACTCTAAAGGTAATCTACAAAAAATCAATCAATCAGTAAACACTAGCTGTCAATGCTTTGTAAGCCTTTGGTGGCCATGAATTAGACAGTTTTTATATCAACAGAATCCATTTTCTATCCAAAATAGAATTAAAGTGGTTCTAAAGGCACATCCAGCTGTGTGCACTGGAGTCTCTGCTATCCCAGGATTTCCTCTTCTCATTAACTGAGACAGAAGCGGGAGCCATTTTGCTCCCATTGCTGTTAATACAGCCAGTGAGCCAATAAGAAGAGAGGTGGGACACACGGTTTTGCAGCGGGTGCCCCCATAGCAAGCTGCTCCCGACAGAAAGGATGGGCCAGGAGAGCCTGTGGGGGACCCGAGAAGAGGGAGGATCCCGGTGCAAATCCACTGCACACACCAGGTAAGTATAGACATGTTTTTATTTTTTTCTTGCAAAAAAATCATGCCTTTAGAATTACTTTAATAAGAACAAGGTAGCCTAACAATTATTTCTCTAGTTTTATGGTTTTATAGAAATCAGTGGTACTTTGACCTATTCAGTACTTTTTATTTTACTTTTTATTTTACTGAAAGCAGTTTTAAATCGCCACAAAAAAAGATTAGGGAATGGCCAGTGCTAACAAAGTAAAGGTTAAAAACATATCATATGCTAGAAAGTCCACTGCTTTTTTCAGGAAGAATTCAAAGCAAAAGGTTGATTTTTCAGTGTATAGCTTAGCCACAACTACCCTTTCTCAATATGCCATATAAGGCCCATTTGAAATGTGATGGCTAGGGCAAGGGAAACTTATGAAATGCTGTTACAGAAAGGCTGTTTTCATCCTTCTGCCAAGATGCACTTCTCAGCCCAAGCAAAGGCAAGTGACTACAGCTCAAGATCTTTTTCCTTTAACATATTTTTAAATAAATAATAATGATTATAAAATATTAAAATGTGTTTTGAACAATTGTACTGTATATTGTTTGTTATGAGAAGAGTATAACAATAATGAGAAAACCAGCACACTGAGAAATAGATTCTGAAGCAGGATTTACTGAAGCCCCATATCAGCGAAAAGGTTACGCCAACGATTCATAGTTAGTCTGGCTGAAAAAAGACAAAAGTCCATCCAGTTCAACCATAAATAAAAAAAAAAAAGTTATAATCCTATACTCACAGTTGATTCAGAGGAAGGCAAAAAAACCCAGCAAAGCAAGATCCAATTTGCTCCTGCAGGGGAAAAAAATTCCTTCCAGATCCCCGAGAGGCCTGGATAAACGTTACCTATAAATAGAACCAGTTTTATTCTGTGTATCCAAGAAAGAATACAGGCCTTTAATAAACCAATCCACTGAGCTGGCCAGAACCAACTCTTGAGGGAGTCTATTCCACATTTTCACAGCTCTTACTGTGAAGAAACCTTACCGTGTTTGGAGAATACATTTCTTTTCTTCCAGATGTAAAGAGTGCCCCCTTGTCCTCTATGATGACCTCAGGGTGAATAACTCTACACTGAGTTCACTATATGAACCACTGATGTATTTATACATGTTGATCATATCCCCCCTTAATCTCCTCTTCTCAAGAGAAAATAAATTCAGTTCCTCTAATCTTTCCTCATAGCTGAGCTCCTCCATGCCTCTTATCGGTTTGGTTGCCCTTCTCTGTACTTTCTCCAGTTCCCCAATGTTCTTTTTGTGAATTGATGCCCAAAACTGAACTGCATATTCCAGATGAGGACTTACTAATGATTTGTACAGGGGTAATATGATATCTCTCTCTCTGGAGTCTATACCTCTTTTAATACCATTTGTGATCTACCAGAACTCCCAGATCCTTCTCCACCATTGATTCCCCCAGTTGTACTCCCCCTAGTATGTATGATGCATGCATATTCTTAGCCCCAAGTGCATAACCTTACATTTATCAACATTAAACCTCAGTTGCCCAATTAAATAGTGCATTGAGGTCAGCTTGTAAATTGGGGACATCCTGTAAGGATGTTTTTCCACTGCACAGCTTGGTGTCATCTGCAAGACTGAAATGGGATTTTAATCCCAGGCCCTATATCGTTTATAAATATATTAAAAAGTAAGGGTCCCAACACTGAACCCTGGGGTATACCACTGACAACCTTAGACCATTAAGAGTATGAATCATGAACCACTACTCTCTGAATACGATCTTTTAGCCTGTTTTCTATCCATTTATATACGGATTTTTCCAATTCCAAGTCTGTAGACTTTACCTTACACATTATCCATGTGTGGGGAACTGTGTCAAACGCTTTTGCGAAATCCAAATATATCACGACTATCGACACCCCTCTGTCCAAGGTTTTGCTCACCTCCTCATAAAAAAAAAAAATCAGATTTGTTTGACAATTTCTGTCTTTCATGAATCCATGCTGTCTGTTGCTTAAAATATTGTTTTCCAGCAAGAACTCACCAATTGGTCTTTTATTAAATTCTCCAGTATCCCAACTATAGAAGTTAAACTAACAGGTCTATAAGATTAGTAAATATTTTGATCCCTTTTTAAATA